AATAAAATGTAAAACAGGGAGCCTGGTTGTTATTTGAATTTACGTTTTCTTGTGACATTATTTAAAGGCCCCTCTCTTTGGCAAGCCGTCGTCAATTTTTTATGACCACCCAAATCCATTTGTGAGGGCGCTTCAGAGTGGAAAGATCTATTTGTGAGGGCGCTCCAGACTGGAAGATCTATTTATGTGGGAGCTCCAGCAGAGTGGGAAGATTTATTTGTGAGGGTGATTCAGAGTGAAAAGATCTATTCTCTGCCTAGGGGGTTTCCTCTCATAACTTTCCAAATGTTGAACACAATACACTGATTTTTTACAAACTTGTTGTATGTACTCTTGTATTCTATGACTTCTTTTGTGAACAAGGAATGATTAAATTCCTTTGTTTTGGCGGGCAGTTTGGTTGTGAGGTCGGGTCTTGTTCTGGGTAATATTTGATGCACCTTATTTGGAACGCTTTGATTGTCTCTCAGCGATCGTTAATGAGTTTATAAGAAGCTAGGTCTCATAAAATCATTAACGATCACACTGTTGTACGCTTGTCGGACATTTTAAAAGGTAACGATGTCCCGACAGCCCAGAACTTCGTCAATTTCATCATAATGAGCTGATTTCCTTCCATTTCCTTAAGACTGCTTGCTGTTCCAGTCTTTGGCCTGCTTGTATCGATCGACAAGGTACTTCATCTTCTTCTGGTACTTGTCTGTTGTTTTCTTGGTACCGAATTTATCTTTCATTTCCTTGGCGATGTTTTCCCACGCTTTTCGAGCTTCCCTGCTTTTAAGGCGGTCAAAATTTTCGGCCCGTAATCTTAGCAACATTGTTTCTTCGTCGTTCAACCAGCAAGCGTACACCCGTCTTTCCTCAGCAGAAGAAGACGACGAACTTGGTCCGCTCAGAATGTAAGGGAGTAGTAAAGACTGTTTAAGAAACGCTAAATGTTCGCTAAACGTTCGCACAATTAAAATTGGTCAAGAGAAAGAAAATCTCGCCAAAGAACACCTGAGAAGGGGTGATCCTTGAGGCTAATCATTCTATGCACAAGTACTTTATCAGCCACAGTGATCCCGTGACACTTAAGAGCAAAACGAGGTGGTTGAAAGTAGATGATGTTACCTTAGTAACAAAAGAAGGAGAAAATGACCGGCAGCAAAAGGCAAAGGGTGACAGTGGGAGACGAAATGATACTTGCATAGGCCATGAAGCCGATTCCCCCGGCCAACCAGTCGAGCAAGCAAGAACAGACAACGCCAGTTTGTTAGAGGCCAGCATCGATCAGATGTTCTCC